TTGGGAACTTTTTTATTTTTTTGGATTTATAGGTTGGATGACTTTTTGGTGGTAATAGGTGTCTTCCTCTACTCGGATTTGGCTGTCGATTTTTTTCTACACTTTTAGGTGTATTTTGTGCAAGAAATTGCAATAAAATAGTCCGCCTAAGAAAAATTGAATTTTTTTGGGCTTTTATTTTTTTGGTTTATGGTCCTGGATGACTTTTTGGTGGTAATAGAGTGTCTTCCTCTACTCGGATTTGGCTGTCGATTTTTTTCTACACTTTTAGGTGTATTTTGTGCAAGAATATTGCAATAAAATAGTCCGCCTAAGAAAAATTGAATTTTTTTGGGCAACTTTTTTATTTTTTGGATTTATGGGTCCTGGATGACTTTTTGGTGGTTAATAGGTGTCTTCCTCTACTCGGATTTGGCTGTCGATTTTTTTCTACACTTTTAGGTGTATTTTGTGCAAGAAATTGCAATAAAATAGTCCGCCTAAGAAAAATTGAATTTTTTTGGGAACTTTTTTATTTTTTTGGATTTATTGGTTTGTATGACTTTTTGGTGGTAATAGGTGTCTTCCTCTACTCGGATTTGGCTGTCGATTTTTTTCTACACTTTTAGGTGTATTTTGTGCAAGAAATTGCAATAAAATAGTCCGCCTAAGAAAAATTGAATTTTTTTGGGAACTTTTTTATTTTTTTGGATTTATGGGTTGGATGACTTTTTGGTGGTAATAGGTGTCTTCCTCTACTCGGATTTGGCTGTCGATTTTTTTCTACACTTTTAGGTGTATTTTGTGCAAGAAATTGCAATAAAATAGTCCGCCTAAGAAAAATTGAATTTTTTTGGGAACTTTTTTATTTTTTTGGATTTATGGGTTGGATGACTTTTTGGTGGTAATAGGTGTCTTCCTCTACTCGGATTTGGCTGTCGATTTTTTTCTACACTTTTAGGTGTATTTTGTGCAAGAAATTGCAATAAAATAGTCCGCCTAAGAAAAATTGAATTTTTTTGGGAACTTTTTTATTTTTTTGGATTTATGGGTTGGATGACTTTTTGGTGGTAATAGGTGTCTTCCTCTACTCGGATTTGGCTGTCGATTTTTTTCTACACTTTTAGGTGTATTTTGTGCAAGAAATTGCAATAAAATAGTCCGCCTAAGAAAAATTGAATTTTTTTGGGAACTTTTTTATTTTTTTGGATTTATGGGTTGGATGACTTTTTGGTGGTAATAGGTGTCTTCCTCTACTCGGATTTGGCTGTCGATTTTTTTCTACACTTTTAGGTGTATTTTGTGCAAGAAATTGCAATAAAATAGTCCGCCTAAGAAAAATTGAATTTTTTTGGGAACTTTTTTATTTTTTTGGATTTATGGGTCCTGGATGACTTTTTGGTGGTAATAGGTGTCTTCCTCTACTCGGATTTGGCTGTCGATTTTTTTCTACACTTTTAGGTGTATTTTGTGCAAGAAATTGCAATAAAATAGTCCGCCTAAGAAAAATTGAATTTTTTTGGGCAACTTTTTTATTTTTTTGGATTTATGGGTCCTGGATGACTTTTTGGTGGTAATAGGTGTCTTCCTCTACTCGGATTTGGCTGTCGATTTTTTTCTACACTTTTAGGTGTATTTTGTGCAAGAAATTGCAATAAAATAGTCCGCCTAAGAAAAATTGAATTTTTTTGGGAACTTTTTTATTTTTTTGGATTTATGGGTTGGATGACTTTTTGGTGGTAATAGGTGTCTTCCTCTACTCGGATTTGGCTGTCGATTTTTTTCTACACTTTTAGGTGTATTTTGTGCAAGAAATTGCAATAAAATAGTCCGCCTAAGAAAAATTGAATTTTTTTGGGAACTTTTTTATTTTTTTGGATTTATGGGTTGGATGACTTTTTGGTGGTAATAGGTGTCTTCCTCTACTCGGATTTGGCTGTCGATTTTTTTCTACACTTTTAGGTGTATTTTGTGCAAGAAATTGCAATAAAATAGTCCGCCTAAGAAAAATTGAATTTTTTTGGGAACTTTTTTATTTTTTTGGATTTATGGGTCCTGGATGACTTTTTGGTGGTAATAGGTGTCTTCCTCTACTCGGATTTGGCTGTCGATTTTTTTCTACACTTTTAGGTGTATTTTGTGCAAGAAATTGCAATAAAATAGTCCGCCTAAGAAAAATTGAATTTTTTTGGGCAACTTTTTTATTTTTTGGATTTATGGGTTGGATGACTTTTTGGTGGTAATAGGTGTCTTCCTCTACTCGGATTTGGCTGTCGATTTTTTTCTACACTTTTAGGTGTATTTTGTGCAAGAAATTGCAATAAAATAGTCCGCCTAAGAAAAATTGAATTTTTTTGGGAACTTTTTTATTTTTTTGGATTTATGGGTTGGATGACTTTTTGGTGGTAATAGGTGTCTTCCTCTACTCGGATTTGGCTGTCGATTTTTTTCTACACTTTTAGGTGTATTTTGTGCAAGAAATTGCAATAAAATAGTCCGCCTAAGAAAAATTGAATTTTTTTGGGAACTTTTTTATTTTTTTGGATTTATGGGTTGGATGACTTTTTGGTGGTAATAGGTGTCTTCCTCTACTCGGATTTGGCTGTCGATTTTTTTCTACACTTTTAGGTGTATTTTGTGCAAGAAATTGCAATAAAATAGTCCGCCTAAGAAAAATTGAATTTTTTTGGGAACTTTTTTATTTTTTTGGATTTATGGGTTGGATGACTTTTTGGTGGTAATAGGTGTCTTCCTCTACTCGGATTTGGCTGTCGATTTTTTTCTACACTTTTAGGTGTATTTTGTGCAAGAAATTGCAATAAAATAGTCCGCCTAAGAAAAATTGAATTTTTTTGGGAACTTTTTTATTTTTTTGGATTTATGGGTTGGATGACTTTTTGGTGGTAATAGGTGTCTTCCTCTACTCGGATTTGGCTGTCGATTTTTTTCTACACTTTTAGGTGTATTTTGTGCAAGAAATTGCAATAAAATAGTCCGCCTAAGAAAAATTGAATTTTTTTGGGAACTTTTTTATTTTTTTGGATTTATGGGTTGGATGACTTTTTGGTGGTAATAGGTGTCTTCCTCTACTCGGATGTGGCTGTCGATTTTTTTCTACACTTTTAGGTGTATTTTGTGCAAGAAATTGCAATAAAATAGTCCGCCTAAGAAAAATTGAATTTTTTTGGGAACTTTTTTATTTTTTTGGATTTATGGGTTGGATGACTTTTTGGTGGTAATAGGTGTCTTCCTCTACTCGGATTTGGCTGTCGATTTTTTTCTACACTTTTAGGTGTATTTTGTGCAAGAAATTGCAATAAAATAGTCCGCCTAAGAAAAATTGAATTTTTTTGGGAACTTTTTTATTTTTTTGGATTTATGGGTTGGATGACTTTTTGGTGGTAATAGGTGTCTTCCTCTACTCGGATTTGGCTGTCGATTTTTTTCTACACTTTTAGGTGTATTTTGTGCAAGAAATTGCAATAAAATAGTCCGCCTAAGAAAAATTGAATTTTTTTGGGAACTTTTTTATTTTTTTGGATTTATGGGTTGGATGACTTTTTGGTGGTAATAGGTGTCTTCCTCTACTCGGATGTGGCTGTCGATTTTTTTCTACACTTTTAGGTGTATTTTGTGCAAGAAATTGCAATAAAATAGTCCGCCTAAGAAAAATTGAATTTTTTTGGGAACTTTTTTATTTTTTTGGATTTATGGGTTGGATGACTTTTTGGTGGTAATAGGTGTCTTCCTCTACTCGGATTTGGCTGTCGATTTTTTTCTACACTTTTAGGTGTATTTTGTGCAAGAAATTGCAATAAAATAGTCCGCCTAAGAAAAATTGAATTTTTTTGGGAACTTTTTTATTTTTTTGGATTTATGGGTTGGATGACTTTTTGGTGGTAATAGGTGTCTTCCTCTACTCGGATTTGGCTGTCGATTTTTTTCTACACTTTTAGGTGTATTTTGTGCAAGAAATTGCAATAAAATAGTCCGCCTAAGAAAAATTGAATTTTTTTGGGAACTTTTTTATTTTTTTGGATTTATAGGTTGGATGACTTTTTGGTGGTAATAGGTGTCTTCCTCTACTCGGATTTGGCTGTCGATTTTTTTCTACACTTTTAGGTGTATTTTGTGCAAGAAATTGCAATAAAATAGTCCGCCTAAGAAAAATTGAATTTTTTTGGGAACTTTTTTATTTTTTTGGATTTATGGGTTGGATGACTTTTTGGTGGTAATAGGTGTCTTCCTCTACTCGGATTTGGCTGTCGATTTTTTTCTACACTTTTAGGTGTATTTTGTGCAAGAAATTGCAATAAAATAGTCCGCCTAAGAAAAATTGAATTTTTTTGGGAACTTTTTTATTTTTTTGGATTTATAGGTTGGATGACTTTTTGGTGGTAATAGGTGTCTTCCTCTACTCGGATTTGGCTGTCGATTTTTTTCTACACTTTTAGGTGTATTTTGTGCAAGAAATTGCAATAAAATAGTCCGCCTAAGAAAAATTTAATTTTTTTGGGCAGTTTTTTGTAGTCCTGGATGACTTTTTGGTGGTAAAAAAGGTCTTCCTCTACTCGGATTTGGGAGTTAATTTTTTTCTACACTTTTAGGTGTATTTTGTGCAAGAATATACAATAAAATCGTCTGCCTAAGAAAAATTTAATTTTTTTTGGGCAAATTTTGTAGTCCTGGATGACTTTTTGGTGGTTAAAAATGTCTTCCTCTACTCGGATTTGGGAGTCAATTTTTTTCTACACTTTTAGGTGTATTTTGTGCAAGAAATTGCAATAAAATAGTCTGCCTAAGAAAAATTGAATTTTTTTGAAAATTTTTTTTTTCGAAAAACGATTTAAAGGTCAAAATATGTGTCTTCCTCTACTCGGATCGGGCTGTCAATTTTTTTCTACACTTTTGGGTGTATTTTGTGCAGGAAATTGCAATGAAACAGTCTGTCTAAGAAAAAAAAATTTATAAATAAATTAATTAATTGAAAAATAATAAAAATCTAAGACAATGAATTGTACCTTGATTTGTAACAGGATAAGGATTGTCTTCCAAGGGAGAGACATTTGTTGGGGACGGTGTGCTTCTTCCTCGAGGCCGATTCTCAAATCCTCTGGCGACGCTGTTTATATACTTGTTGCATAATGCTTTCTTCACCATATAACAACGTGGCATTTTGAATAACTAATTTTTCTTTATTATCTCCTTTTTACAATTTTTGTTTCTTTAATTTTTTCCCCTCTTTTGTTTTTGCGAAAGAAAAAAAAGAGAGAGAGAGATAGAAAAAAAGAGACACAATTCACCTGGCGGAAGATTGGTTTTAAATTTTCCAGTTTTTTTATTTTCTTCGCCTTTTTTTATATTTCAATTTTCTTCTCCATTCGATTTTCTTGTTTTGTTAATCAATATTTATAGAGAAAAAAAATAGAAATTTGAAACTTTTTCTTCAGTCTTATTCTATATATTTTGGGAATTTTTGGTTCTTTTTTTGTTGTTATTGTTGTTGTTGTTGTTTTATCTGGTCCGCCCGGTTTTGCCGTAAAAGAGAGAGAATTTTTTTTTACATAATCGTTGTACGATAACCGAAAAAATTTATTGAAAATTTTTGGTAATGTATTTTTTTTAAAGATTTAGAGAATTTATCTTGACTCTCTCTCTCTTTCTTTTTTACCTGTGTGGTATTTCGGTTTCGTTGTATTTTCGTGGGTGGAAGATTTTTTTTTTCTAGTAGTTTAATAAAATCTTAAATTATATTCTCTTATCTAGAAATGTATAGTATACATATATTTGTATATATATATGTATCAAAGTCTTGGCGTCTCTCTCCCTCTCATTTACACACGAGGATGAGGCTTAAGCGATTTCTTACGGTTTTTTTTTCGTCCTCATTTCCTTTAAATCCTTTTATCTCGTTTCTTTTCACAATGGATTTTGCTATTTTTTCTTCTGATATTGTTCTCTTTTTCTTTTGTTTCTTCTATTTCTTCTTTTCTTTGTTTGTGTTTTCTCTTTTTGTGTTTTTCTTTCAATTTTTTTGTTTCTTCTTTTTCTATTTTTTCTCCTTTATATTTATTTTTCTTTATTTTTTTCTTCTTTCTTTCACTTTCTTATTTTGTTGTTTCTTTTGTATTTCTTTTTTCTCTTTATTTTATTTACCACTTTTTTTATGTTGTTTTTCTTCTTATGGTTTTTCTATTGATTTAACTTTTTTATGATTTTTCCTTGGTGTTAAAAATTCAATGTACATAAAACACTTTTCAATGATTTTAACGCCTTTAAAATCATTTTTTTTGCTTAAAATCAAAATTTTCTCTCTTATAATCATATTCAAAATTGTTATCTTTTTCACAAAATTTTTGCATTAAACTTCTTGTGAATAATTTTTTCTTTTAAATTTGTTCTTCAATTTTCAAACTTTATATGTCTTTTCCATTTAATCCTTTCTATTGTTTATAATTTTATTTTCTTTATTCATTAAGAGGAAGAATGTGTTTTTTCTCTATTTTGACTCTTTTCTTTTTTTTAGAAAGTCTTTATTATTTCAATTTTGTGTTTGAGTGTTTTCTTTTTAAGGCTCTTTGAAGTTTTTAATTATACTTAAATTTATTATTATTATTATTAGCTTTCTCTTTGTTTATTGTTCATTTTGTATTTAAGTTTGTTTATTATTTGGTTTATTTTTATTATTTGTTTAGTATTTTTTAATATTTTTTTTTTATTTTGGTAAATGTTTTCTTTCCTACCAATGAACTTTTTTATTTATAAATTTATTTTCCAATTTTCTTGTCCCCCTTTTTTTTATAATTCCTTTTTATCTCTTATGGAAAACTTGATTTTTTTGGTGTTATTTTTGTTTACTAATGTTTCTTACGGATTACATTCATTTCAGTTACTTCTGTATGAATTTCTTAAATTCAATTATTTGCCTTTCAACTTTTCTCGGTTTTAGTATTTTTGTTGTTTCTTGTTTATTATTTAGATTTTTTTTTATCTTCTTGCTGCTTTTTTCCTGTTTCTATTTTCTTTTACTTTTTATATTTTCCACTCTTTCTACTTTTACTCCTTTTTTACTTCTTTTCTTCTTTTTTTATTTCTATTTTTACTCCTTTCTTAGTCCTATTTTTACTTTATTTTACTCCTATTTTTATTTCTTTCTTTAAAGTTTCCACTCCTTTTTTTACATCTATTTTTCACTCTTTCTATGTTTATTCTTTCCCTCTTTTATTCCTTGTAGTTTTGACTCTTGCTATTTTTCACTCCTCTTTTTCCACTCTCCTTTTTTTACCACCCTCTACTTTTCACTCCTTTGGAGAAAAAAAAAATCTCCTATTATCACTATATTCTTTTTTTGATCCTCAGTTTCTTGTTCCGTTTTGTATAAATATTCGCGAAAAAGTGATTATCCCCTCACTCTTTTCTTGTCTCTCATATATATATAAGAATCCCGTAAAGTTGCCCGGGAAATATTTGTGGTTTCCTTTTTGGAGGGGGGCACCCCTCTCTGTCTCTCTCTCTCTCTCTTTCTATATATATATATATATAGATTGCGAAAGAGAAATCGCGGAGGACGCCCGCAGGACGAGCAACAAGTTGGACAACAGGTCCGCGCGTCGCGTTAAACGCGGTCGATAACGCGACTTTGGCCGCCGTATAGGAGGCGAGACGTCCGTTTACTTCCGCAACACCAGACGATTATCATACGCACCCCTTTTTTTTATCACGAAACTGAATATAAATTTTCCCTTTTTCTTCGCTTAATCCTATAGAGAGCACTTAATACACTACCACCAAAAAAGCACTTTTTTTGTCTTCGGTTATTCAGGGGGAAGAGTCGAGAGCGTTAGCGGATAATAAAGAATAAGGAGAAAGAGAGGAATATGCTTTTTGACGAAAAGGGAAAAGAGGAATGAGCTTTTTGAAGAAAATTGTATGGGAAGAAGAAGAAAAAGAAAGAGGATTGAGGAGAAGAAGAAGAAGAAGAAGTTGCAGAAGAAGAAGAAGAAGAAGAAGCGAGTACCACCTGTGGGCGCAGAAGCAACAATTGTCCGCCGTATGCGGGAGGGTGAACCGACTACATGGCTCGTACCGGGTGTGGCTGGGGTGCGACTGGAGGCCCCTGTGGAAAGTGCACCCGCCACACAAAACTCACCCCTTCGTTTCTGGGGGCGCCTACGCATCCGCAACACGAGCAGCGTCTGCGCCGAGAGAGAGGCCTCCAAGTGTGAGCCACCCGCCATCATCGATTTTCGCCACACATATACACAGAGAGTGGAAAGTTGGGACCAGAACCAACACCTGTTACCGCCTCGATAGGAGGGAGAAAGGCTACCCCAATCGATAATGTCGGCGTCGCCAGTGGCGGACCCGATAGCGCATCGCCTGCCACAGAAACAAAAAACGATATATAGACAAATCGAGCTTTCAGGGTGGATTTTATAATTGCGGCAAAAATTTATATGTCACGCTGAAGGAACTTCAAAAAAAAATCTTTTAGGTTATGTTTTTCTCATTTTTCTGCAGTGCAAATACTCTATAAAACAGTCTCCATTAGAAAAGAAATCAATGAAATAACTAATTTTGAGTTCACCTGGTTAAAAATAAACTTTTTAATTATCACTAAACATAACCTACAATTTTTCTAGGGTCCCTCCTCTCGTGGAGCGTCATTGTTGAGACAGATTCTTAATGCGTTTCAGTCTCGCGAATTCGGGGGATGATATACATATACAGGGTGATTTTTATATTCCGGACCCCCTAAAATTTGTTTTAATTTTTTTGTTTTTTAAACAAAAAAAGCGGAATTAAAAAAAAATGTTAGGGGGTCCCGGAACATAAAAATTACCCTGTATAAAGAAAAGAAGAAAATGTTTTGTAATTATTTTTTTTTTTAAAGGGGAAAATATATTAAAAATATAACAATTATATTCATATTGTTTAGAAAATTATTTTTTAATATTAATAATTAATTAATAAATAATTGTCTCATCTTGATAAATTTTGAAGAACAAAAATAATTTTTTTAAAAAATAAAGAACACTGTAAAAAGAAAGTACTAAAATAGTACCGATTTTAGGTATATTAAAATAGAACCAAATGACAATTTAGTACCTAAAGTTGGTATTAAATTAATACCTTTTGTTTTGTAGTGCAAGGTTATGTAATCGTAAGTTTCTATTAAAAAAAATTGTTTTAACAACAATCAAATTTAAAAATAATTTAAAACCCAATTAATTTTACGTTAAAACATACCTTTGATTTTAATTTTTAAAAAACCCCTCTTTCCAATCATGTTTGCTTCTTCACGATTATATATTTACTGTCAAAATTTATAGACACATTTTTTCCTTATTATCAGTTTATCTTTCAATTGTCTTTTCTTTTCATTTTTTGCTAAAGAATATAATTTTATTCCAGAACAAAAATTGTTATAAATATTTTTATATTAAATAAATAATTAATAAAATAATAATATAATTAATTAATAATAAATAAAAAAAATACTAAAATTTAGTTTCTAAATTCTATTGTATATAATAAAGTAGAAATCCTTTTTTTAATTTACACTTGCATAATTTAACATAATTTTCTCTTTCTGTTCTAAGTGCCCCAAAACCCTCTTGCAAATACTAAATCAAAAGCTTGTATCTTCCCTTTCATTCTCCTTCAGTACCTTCTTAAACTGAGTTACCTAAATACTTGATAATCTCTTCCCTTTAATTCCCACTCCTATATACATTTGCACCCTTTTGTCTCAGTCTTCGCCCAGCTCTTACTATATTTATATATATATCTCAGAACTTAGCTTTCTTCTCCTTTATTCACTACGAGTTTAAGAACACAACTTTTTCTTTTTTTATCTACACCATTTTTTTTTATTTTTTAAAAACAACTTTTCAATATTTAAAATAATTATTAACCGAGTTTTAATTAAGTAAAACTCTCATTCAACAAAATTTTAAATCAGTCGAACTTTTAATTAATTAAAAAAAGATTTTTCCCGTGTAGAAATTTTGACAGGGCTCAGATCGGGGCCAGATCAGGCTGCCCTATTAGGAAATGAAACGCCGCGCCAAATGAGGCCCTGATTAGGAAATCCACATTTTCGCCCTGATCAGGTGTGGCGTTTCATTCCCTACTAGGGTCCTGATAGGGCAATTTCTACACGGGTTATTTAATATAAATAA